CCCCCAGCTCTCTCTCTCTCTCTCTCTCTCTCTCTCTCTCTCTCTCTCTCTCTCTCTCTCTCTCTCTCACAGATGCACTTCAACAGATTTGGCCAACTCTAAGGTTAGGGTGCCATGTTGTTTTGGAGATAGTAATACTCTGGGAGCTGGGCAGCGGAAGACTCTTACATTGTAGAAATGTAGCTGCTCTTATTAGTTTGCAAATGCAGCCACTATCAAATAGTCTTGGATGTTTTACTCTTTGTGTCTACTGACGTGTGTCTCCCATTTGATATACTACAGGCTGAAATTACGCTATGCTTATACACATTCAGCTTTCCTCAATTGCCATTAATCTACCTAAATAACAGCCTGTAGCCTTGGCCATTGCAACAACCCCCTTTATTAATGCTTTTATCATGTGATTATGCACAGGAAAATGGAAAGCAAACATTCCAGCTCAAAGTTTCAGTTCCTCAACTGTTACGATTCAGAGGTACCAAGGGGCAGATCACTCTGAATACAAACATGTTTGAAGAGGAAAGATAAATCTGTTGATTTAGGAAGCTTTGTGCCATTTTATATCTAAGAGCTTTGCATCTTTTTGAACTAAAATATGTTTAGACTTTTGGACATTATCAGATATAATTTTGGGAACAGGAGCTGCTGGAATAAAAGTCCTAGCTTCAACGTGATTGAGTAACCTCTAACTCTGGCCATGTTTTTCTAATTTGCTATCTCGAAAACAACTTAACAAGAAGTCTAGGTCTGCATAGTAAATAACCTTTATTTTCTGAACCTTTGAAATAAGAGTTTATTCTTTTCTCTCTTTTTTTGTTTTTAGATTATCAAGTTTGTCAGTCTGATATACTCTTTCTGTAAACATAGAAGCAAAAAAAAAAAAATCCTAATTTTCTTCAGTTTTAAGAGGTTTGCTGAATTGCCAGGAAAATACTATAAGGATTATGGGATAAGGAGAAGCACATTTTTTAACAAAAGCGCCTTTTAAATTATTTTGATATAAAAAAGCATATCTTTCATTTTGAGAAAGCTAAGCTTTTCAAAGTTTAACTATTTTAATGACCGCTAGTAGCCTGTGGCAATTACATACAAGGTACTTAATATATGCAACATTACATAGTAAACAAGCCAAGAGAAACATGAGAAAACTGAGTGAAAAAGAAAATTCCAAAGGTCTTTCGAATTAACTCGAATTTTTTAAATTACTTATGACTATATGACTACAGTTCTACATGACTATAGCTAATACTGGTATTTATTGAAGACATTCTCCTTTCTTCTCCTGGTATTTTTGAGATCATTTACTAAAAACTTTAGCACTAAACATTAGATTTTTAGTTTCTTCCTTAAATGTTCCAATATGTGTATTTTAGAGGCAAATATACTCCTGACTATAAAAACAAGTAGCCAGAAGTGCCTTGACTATACTAACAAGGTAGTTATACCATTGACTGGGGATTTAGCTCAGTGGTTTGGTGGCCTGCCTCGCAAGCACAAGGACCCAAGTTCGATCCCCAGTACCAAACAAACAAAACAAAAAAACAAGGTAGTTATACCAAAGTTACCAAAAGATGATGAGTAAAATCTATGTATTTCCGCAAGTTTTCCTACTATCTAATTTGTCTAGTGACCAGGTTGCAATTCTGAACTCCACCTGGCCTTCTTGACTGGGAAAACTGAGAAAAATGATCATGCTAGTAAACTTTAAAGGCTTTAAACTTTAGGGTTGATCATGTGCCATAGAAACTGTGAGACTTGTGGATCAAATAAAAGCTATTCAATTCAACCATACACCCATTTGAAGATTTTTAGAATTACGAATGTGCTACTCAGATATAAATGATAAGTGGTTTATGTAAATGATCCTTAATATTCAAATAGTGAAGGGCACTATCTGAAAATTACAAAATCCTAATTGTTGATTACCACTATGGTTCCTACTTTTTGCCATTAAATTAATTTTCTTAAAGTGATCTAACTCCAGGAACTGTCTCAGGCAGAAAGTAGGACAAGCTCTCAGAGGGTGCAATAGATTTTACTCTGATTCCTCTCTGGAGAGAATAAAGGGTAAAAAATGAGTAGAGCAAAAGTAATTACAGTCAGCCTTTCCACATCCACGGATTATACAAACAGCAGCTCAGAAATATTTGACAAAAATGCATCTCCATTGGACATGTACAGAGTTTTCTTCTTGTCGTCATTCCTTAAAGAACAACAGTAATTTACATATGATTCACATCCTATTATGTATTATAGACATCTAATAGTGATTATAAGTACACTGGAAGATGTGTGTTACAGGACAATGCTGCATGGTTTTATAAAACAGGCTTGAGCCCCTGCACATTTTGATATATGAAGTGTGCAGCCTTGAAACCAATCCCACAAGGGCACTGAAGGACAACTGTTAAGATCCCCGGTGTATTATCCAGGAACTGATAGGAGACCCCTGTCAGTTAGCAATGAGGTCTTCTAAATGTATCCTTCACATATATGTACACATATGTGAAGAATACATATACATATATATGTGTATGTGTACCTTATAGAGAGGCACATATAGAGATATACATACATATGTATGAATGTATGTATATTATAGATAGATCGAGAGAAAGATAGATTGACTTTTGTTTTAGGAATTGGCTCATGAGATTATGGGGCCCAATAAGTGTAAAATCTGTGAAGAAGGCCAGCAGGTTGGAAACTCAAGTACTACTACATGGATGATGGCTGCATGGAGTACTGCATGGAGTACCATATGGATTCCTTGGGTCCCAAATTTTCAGATCAGGCTAGCAAGGCAATATTTCTATGTTTCAGGCAGAACTGATCCTTCTTTGGGCAGTCTCAGTCTTCTCTCTGAAGGCCTTTCCTGATTGGATGAGGTCCACTCCCATTCTGGAGAGTGAGCCTCTTGAAGTCCGTTGATTTAGATGTTAATCACATCAAAAAAATACCTTCATGCCAACATCTATGCTGCTGCATGATGTCTAAAGTAACTGTCATAGCCTAGCCAAGTTGACACATAAATTTTACATCTTGATTTCACTCCAGAACAATTCAGAAAACTGGTATCTTTCACAACCCCTAAAACAATCTTTCAAATTCTAGATCACTTTGAGCTCGTAAGCAAACTTGCCTGTAGTGATTAACTTGAGAAGGGAAATTGTTAGATACCAAGGGGATTCTGGCTTTCCTAACAGAAAACATTAATTTGAGGTCATAGGAAATGACTTGTGACATGAATCTTTAGATAGATGGATAGATAGGTGAGAATCTTCTCTTTACCTTCATTGTCATAAATTCTCTTTGCCCCCAGGTGAGAAACTGTCTCAGAGAAGTCATAAAACAAGGCGGGTACCTGTGAATGTTACAGCTAGGTTTGAAGTCAGCTCTTTTCTTTCTGGAGCCCATGTCCTGCCTCATTCTACATTAGTAGGAGGTAGAGGCAGGTAACACCATGCAGGTGTGTGTGTGCTCTCCACCTTAACCGATCATTGCAATCACTTGGGCAACGTTAAGAGAAGCTGGCACCTTCTCTTATTATCCCACAGAGATTCTAATTGTTTTTTAAATACTTTTTATCGGTACATTATAGATATACAATACATTACATCCATCATTGGGATCTTGTACCTTTACATGACAGGTCTTTGTTCCTTTTTTCCACTCATTCCCCTAATAAATTGGTTCAGAGTTTAGACAGGCAAACATGGCAGCTAACAGCAAAGGCTGTGCCGCTCATTGTGGCAACTGCCCAAGGTATTGGTTACAAGTAGATCTGATATTGCTACCTTTACCAGCTTGTAACCCTAAAGGAAAATGCTGAGTGCCTGTAGTTTACAATATATGAGAAAAAACGCCCTCACTTCTGACCTACAACTTTTCTTCTACATCTTTTCTGGTTTTTGATATATTTTATTTATTACAATCGGTACTTTCTGAATTCTAACTTACTGAAATCCAGTCAGTTGAACACATATTCTGCAATATTCCAATAATTTCAAAATAAACCAAAGAGTTTACTGAGTAGGAAAGAGAACTGGATATACAGAGAAGCAAAAATGCCTGGTAGTGATTGTACTTTTAATTTTAGAACATTTGCATTAGACACCACAACTACCCGTGTCTTGCTGAGCTCCACTTATTCTTCTTATTTTCCAAACTGTATAACTGCAAACAAATCCAGTGGTCTGAAGAGCATTATTTCAGACACTAGAAAGCAAATGCACAACCGACAGACATAGAAATAAACTCAGTCTTCCTTCTGCAAAGACTGACAGGCTTTTAGCCTAATCATAAAAGGATTTCAATCTTTCAGAAAAGGCTCTTTGCTCTCTGTTGGGAGCAGCAAGGCCAAATACCTTTTCCTTTCAGGGACAGTTTCATGTCTGAACTGGATTTCTAGTGTAGGCTCCAGTCCTGAATTTTCTATTTTCATTTCAATCAAAGCTGCCTATATTTGGAAAATATTGGTGAACTCTG